ATTGATTGAGTCTAGTAATTTTTTATAGAACACGCCTAACAATACGGTTAAGAAAAGACTTGGCCTTTTTATTTTATTTTAACTGACAAAACATCTTATATTACAATATCCTCGTCTTTGCTTCTCTACAGCAAATCAAGTAATCCAAAGTATTCAGATTACGTTACTCACTTGAAGTAATTTAATGGATTACGTTACAAACTACATTTTGGGGTATGTAATCTGTAATCTGTAGGGGAATACATTTGAAAAGTCACCTTCCCAACACTGCCAACGCCATGTATTTATTGAATCACACAGGTTACAAGAATAAATGGGCAGTTACATTTTTTCTATCAAAGTACTACAAAGAAGTGTGTGTGTGTGTGTGCATAGTGTGTAGGGAGGACTGTCCTTGCGGAAGATAACAGTTAATGAGAAGTTGGTTTTCCCGTGAGAAATACACTTTGAGAAATACCCTTTGATAATAGTAATATAAGACAAAGAAGCATCTATACAGCATTTGAAAAACAATCACCATTTATATGTTTTTCTCTTTGTTATTGTATTATATTGTGATGTGTGAGCTCCTGTGTCCAAATCATTTCCCTTGTGGATCAATAAAGTTTGTCTAAGTCTAAATCCTGCATTCAAGTGCTCAGAAAATTACAGTTTTCACCTACCCCCTATGCCCGCCCACTACTTGTGATCATTTAAAAAGAGCATATATGGTTCAAAAAATGTCACAAAGCCATTTTTCAACTATAAAAACAAATGCTCCTTGTTATGGTTAAATGTTGTATGGGGTCAAAAAGGGTCTAAAGCAAAGAGAATACAGAACAGGTATAAATAGTAGTAGTAATGCAGTAAGTTAAAGGAGCACTATGTAACTTTCTTTGGGTACACCATATACTTATTACCAGTGTTGGGAGGGTTACTTTTAAAATGTATTCCCCTACAGATTACAGATTACACACACCAAAATGTAGTTTGTAACATAATCCATTAAATTACTTAAAGTGAGTAACGTAATCTGAATACTTTGGATTACGTGAGTTGTTGTAGAGAAGCAAAGACGAGGATATTTTCACATAAGTTTTGTCTGCTTAAAGACAGTAAAAAGCCCAGAATTTCCTTAACCGTATTAAAAAATATTATTGATAGAAAAGGAGGAGACACGGTCTGAGCGGCATGTTTTCGTCCTGTTAAATCCTGTTTTAGACCTGGTTCAGACCTGGTTCAGACCTGGTTTTAGTCCTAGTTTTAGTCCTGTTAAATCCTGTTTTAAACCTGGTTTAGACCTGGTTTTAGTCCTGGTTTAGTGTCCGGCAATGAGTGGAATTACGGCAATTACGGGGGGGGTATAGCCCAAAATGTAAAGAGAAAAGCAATAATAAATAAAAATTTACTGAAAATTGTCCAAAGAAGATCAAACATTGTTTTTCACCTGTGGTTCAACAGAATTATTAGAAAAACCAAAATAATGAAACTGGCCTGGAGAAAAATTATGGTACTTTAATTTAATATTTTGTTACACAACCTTTTGAGGCAAACTCTGCAAACAAACAACTTCTGCAACTGTTAGTGAGATTTCTGCTCTGGTCAACTGGTATTTTGACCCATTTCTCGTCAGCAAACTGTTCTAGTTGTCTCAGGTTTGAAGGGTTCCTTCTCCAGACGCATGTTTCAGCTCCTTTCACAGATGTTCAGTAGAAGTGAGATCTGGGCTCACAGAAGAACACTCCAGAACAGTCCAGTGTTTTGTTCTTGGTCATTCTTGTGTGTTTTTAACTGTGTGTTTTGGGTCATTGTCCTGTTGGAATTCCCATGACCTACGACTGAGACCAAGCTTTCTGACACTAGGGAACACATTTCGTTCCAAAATACATTGAGAGTTTTAAGATTTCGTTGTACCTTGCACAGATTCAAGACACTCTGTGCCAGATGCAGCAAAACAGGCCCAGAACAAAACAAAACCTCCTCCGTGTTTCACAGTAGGGACAGTGTTCTTTTCTTGGTGAGTGTCATTTTTGCGTCTGTGAACATAGAGCTGATGTGTCTTGCCAAAGAGCTCTAGTTTTGTCGCATCTGTTCAAAGAACATTCTCCCAGAAGCTTTGTGGTTTGTCCATATGTATTGTGACAAATTCCAGTCTCACTTTTTTATGATTTGCTCTCAGCAGTGGTGTCCTCACATGAAGTCCACTTTGGCTCAAACACTGATGGATGGTGTGATCTGACACTGATGTACTTTGCCCTTCAAGTTCACATTTAATTTGTTTGGAGGTTGTTCTGGGCTCTTTGGTTCCATTCGTATGATCCATCTCTTCAATTTGTCATCAATGTTCCTCTTGCAGCCGCGTCCAGGGAGGTTGTCTTCAGTCCTGTGGACATTAAACTTGTGAAGAACATGTGTAACTGTAATCACAGGAACATCAGCTGCTTGGAGATGGTCTTATTGTCTTTATCTTTAACCTGTTTGTTTATCATTTTCTTTCTAGTCTCCTGACACAGTTCTCTTCTTCTCTTTCTCTGCTCCATGTTCAGTGTTGTGTCCATCATGTCTCCAAACAGCACAATGACACATGTCGCCCTTTAAACAGACTGACTGAGGACAAGTTTGAAGAACCTGTGATGCAGATTAGAGACACACCAAAGTTTAACATGTCCCTATTGTCCAAGTGTTTACAAGCTTTTCTAGGGGAACCATCATTTTTGTTCAGGCCAGTTTCATTAGTTTGTTTTTTTAAATAATTCTATTGAACAACAAATCAAAAACAGTGTTTGATTTTCATTGGTTATTTTTCAGTACATTTTTATTATTTATTATTGCTTTTCTCAGTTTCAAGTTATTTCAGTGAAAATGGTTGATTTTTCTTTCATTACCAGAGGGGTACCATCAATTTTGTCTACCACTGTAACTATACTACACTATTTTAGAGGTGATCGCAGCAGAACTAATTGGCTGGTCTTGTTTTCAAAGTACCCGCTTGCCTCCATGGTTATAAATAAAATGAATGTCATAATGTGCAACATTTCAGGCCAAACAATAGCGTCCTCATTGACATAAGCAGGTACTGGACCCTTGCCCGGAAAGGTTGCACAGTGCGTCTACTTATTAGTCAGAAAACAACAAATGATGTATTTTGTGAAACTTGGTTAGTGCAGGGAAGTGATTGCTCATTTGGTCAATAATAATTCAAACACAGTTATTTTTTTTGCATAGTTTTATTTATTAATTTTGTACAGTAACAAACTGAACATCAACCTGAGAGTCAAACTGTATCTCATTTGTTTAAAGGTCAGACATTGTTGTGTACATACATCTGGGAAAAGAAGTAACTGTTGTCTATTGACATAATGATTTCTATGATTTATACAGCGCGACTAAGTGTTTTTAGCTCTTGAGAAGAAACAGCGTATATCCAAATTTACTCAAACATGTGTGAACTGAAAAAAGAAAACTACTCCATATATGTTTAGAATTCATTGACATTAGAAATTTCAGACTTGTTGGGTTTCAGAGGACATCGCCTCATATATCCAGTTGATATTTTGCAGCTGGGGGCTTTGTTAGTTTTTAATCTGACACACAGTCTAACCATAAAGAACAGAATTATTTGGAACTAGAACATGTGAGATGATTTGTGCTGTTAAAAAAGTTCCTCTCAAATAACATTACAGTCACAAGCCAGATAGCTATAGCCATAGAAAATCAAACACCGTGAACGTATCAGTCACGTATCGAATCAATCACCGGCTCCTGAACACGTGTTTTTTAAAATCCATTTTGTGTTTTTTCTTGAGTTTTCAGACATCTTAAAAGTGTTTAGTCAGTGTTTTACCCTTAAAGATGTAGAACACCCCCAGTGTGATGTTTCTGCAAAGTATCAATAATATTTAATACAGACGGGGGCAGCTAAAATAAATGTGATTAAAATCCAGTTTTTTTTATGTAATAAAGGGAAGTCTTGGACTGGGTCTAGTCACTAAAAGAAAATACAACATTTGGATAACTTTTGGATAAAATTTTAAAATTTGTAAAGAAAAACATTCCGAATTCTGAAGGCGGCTGGAGAAAAAAGTGAAGTGAACATAATGTGATTTCAACTATGAAAAATCCAGGGAAAAAGGCAACCACTCAAACACATATGAGTTTCAGAGCCCAGTCTAGAAATATTAACAATTGTGTTCTTCCTTATTCTGATGGACACTGAGTATTTTGGACAAAGGAAAAATCCAGGTTTTAGGTTTTACTGGAGAAATCTTACAGAAATATTGAGTCCACTAGTTTGTCATTTCATCTACAGATATATTAAACACTTCATCATAAATAAAAACTTTTCTGAAGCTCAAATACAATTTTGAGATTAGAAAATCGTATTTTTCCATTCTTCTTAACAGAGATACAAACAAACTAATATTTGTACCACAGAAATTCTAAATTGTTGTTTATTTTTTGCTGTAATGTCATAAATCCATAAGCATTTAGATCAGTTAATCAATTAATCATTGAAAATATTACATCAGCTTGACTTTGGCTCCAGTCACCTCAATGCCAGAATTCTGAACATTCAGATGCCACAGGATTTTAAAGGGTCTGTCGGTGGTTTTCAGATTGTGACGATGTTATACTCCCACATGGAGGGCAAGAGACAAATGTCCCTATTTATAACACTGTACTTTGTCATGAAATATCCAAAAATGTATTAAAATATTTAATAGAATATTTTCTACCAGTGAGTAAACCCATTCACTTACAGTTACAACAAAATCCTACATTTGAACTGCATTTACTTTATCTGACCCCATCTATATCAAATAATATTGGCATGTAAAATGCTGTGATGTCATGTGAAAGCCTGCGACAGGAAAAACTGCCTCTTTATCCCTCATCTGAGAGTATGACATCATCACAAACCCCCAGTGAGACCTTTAAGAATAAGAATAAGAATAATGCATCAGTTTTATATCGCGCTTTTGTGGACACTCCAAAGACTTTAAACCAAGCTCTGTGTGTGTTCAGATCCACGCCCAGCAGAGGGCGATGAGGCTGGTGGTGAGCACACAGAGGGGCCCAGCACTGGACGACGAGGTGGAGCCTGAGTTGCAGAGGTTGGAGCTGCAGCAGCGATAGGTGAAGCCGCTGATGGAGGGAAACATCTGCTGCAGGCGCGAGTTATCACAGTCAGTGTAACGCAGGCACTGACGGATGGTTTTACCCCCTGTACACACACACACGCACACATACACACGAGTTACTACTGAGGAGATTAACAGGACTGGGGGTGTTCTACATGCATCTCTATGGTGGAATGTTCAGCAGTTACTGTTGTGAGGCAATGCACACATTAGCAAATCCTGCCAAGTTTTTTGACTATATGGTTATGGTTAATGATTTGATTGCTGTAGTTTCAACCAAGTCAGCTCTTTCTGGTCAGATTGTGTTTAAATAAAACTCAGATTAAAATCTAATTTTAGCTTTTAAAAGAGCGTCTCACAGAGTAGGGCTTTCAGTTAGCATCACACCCCCAGGGAATGTTGATGATGAGCTGCAGTGTCAATAAAAAGTTACTACAGAGGAGAGGAACACACAAGACTTTGTCATAAAGCTACAATTTCAAACTTGAAAACTCCTAAAAAAGGCCTGTTCTGGAATAAAATCTGATTGCAATGTACACAGTAATATGATTTATAGAATTTATACAACAGAATTTAACATTTTCATGCAAGTCTCTCTACAGTCACAAGCTGGCCAGGATTACACAGACTGAAAAACTAACTCCTAAACAGGACCATGAACACTCATCACAGGCTCCTGAAAAAGTGCTGTTTAAATCAATTAAGTTAAAAGTTAAATCAAAACTTTTTGTCTGTCTTTGCTCGTGTGTAAGTGCAGAACATTCCACCAAGTTCAATAGGTTTTGTCTCATTTCAGAAAGTCAAACCCATTCATATATTGTATTGACTTATCTCATGACACATAGAGTGAAATATTTACATTTTTATGATTGTGACTTCAATCAATTAAAAAGATATTTTAAACAGAAATGTCAACCTTCTGAAAAGTCTGTTTCATTTCTATGCACTCAGTACTTGGTTGGGTGGTTGGTGGTTGGGTCTTTGGTCTGAATTCCTGCCTCAGTGCCGCGTGGCGAGGAGGAGCCTCCCTGTGGCACTGCTCAGGTGCAATGGAAGCCCGGAATGATAGCGGCTTTCAGATCATCTGCATTACTGAATCTAGGGTCTTTCATCTTCCTCTTGACAATACCCATATGGAGTTCAGGTCAGGCCAGTTTGCCGGTCAGTCAAGCACACTAACGCCATGGTCAGTGAGAGATCTTTTAGTGGCTGTGTGGGCAGGTGCCAAGTCCTGCCGGACAATGAAATCTGCATCTCCATAAAGCTTGTCAGCTGAAAGAAGCATGAAGTGCTCTATAATGTCCTGGATGATGGCTGTGATGACTGTGGACTTCAGAAACACAGTGGAACAAAAGCAGCAGATGACATGGCAGAACAAATCATCACTGACCGTGGGAATGTCACACTGGACTTCAAACAACGAGGATTCTGTGTTTGTCCATTTTTCCTCCAGACTCTCGGACCTTGAGTTCCAAAAGATCTGCAAAATGTACTTTCATTTGAAAAGAGACTCTGGACACTGAGCAACAGTCCAGTTGTTTTTCTTCACAGCTCAGGTCAGACTCTTCTGACATCGTCTCATGTCCCATATAGACTTCGTCTATGTGTCGTGGCTCTTGACTCTGACTCCAGACTCAGTCCACTCCTGATGACGATCCCATCAATTCTTAAATGAATTTTGCTTGACAGTCCTCTCAAAGCTGCAGTCATCCCTTTGGCTGGTGAACCTTTTCCTACCACATTTTTTCTTCCACTTAAGTTTTTATGCATCTGTTTGGATACAGCTCTCTGCGAACACCAGCTTCTTAAGTACTGACCTTATGTGTCTTTCTCCTTGTGGAGGGTCAGTGAGTCTTCTGGACATGTGTCCATCAGCAGCCTCCCCCATGATAGTGTTACCTACTGACCCAAACTGAGGCCATTTAAAGGCTCCGTTTTCAGTTCAGTAGCTGATTATGGTGTGGCCCCATGACTTTCCAATATTCAGATTTTTCAAAATATTCAAATTTTTTGAAACAGGATTTTGTTTTTTCATTGTCTGTAAGCCACAATGATAAAAAAATCAAAAAATAAACTGGGTTTGATTTTCTGAAACAAGTGACAAAAAATATTCCTGCATATTGTAATTATCTGTGATGGACTGTGTGTGTTGAATGAGGACCTCTTTCGCTGATGGAGATGCAGGAGTCTTCGTAGGTGCACTCTTGGACGTTCTGACAGCGGCCGGTGTAGTCGGAGCATTTGTAACAGCGCAGAGCCAAACCTGAGACAGAAACAAGAATAAATGATAGTTTTGTATTTCAATGAAGCACCTCCTCATATCAGAGCTAAACCAAAACTGAGGCAAAACTGAGACAAAATGTATTACATACTGCCTTGGTTTAGTCCTGGTTTAGGTCTGGTTGAGTCCTGGTTTAGACCTGGTTCAGTCCTGGTTCAGTCCTGGTTTAGTGCCGGTTTAGTCCTGGTTTAGTCCTGGTTTAGTGCTGGTTTACTCCTGGTTTTAGTGCTGGTTTAGTGCTGGTTTAGTGTTGGTTTAGTGTTGGTTTAGTCCTGGTTTTAGTGCTGGTTTAGTCCTGGTTTTAGTGTTGGTTTAGTACTGGTTTAGTCCTGGTGTAGTGCTGGTTTAGTCCTGTTTTAGTCCTGGATTTAGTGCTGGTTTAGTCCTGTTTTAGTGTTGGTTTAGTCCTGGTTTTAGTGCTGGTTTAGTCCTGGTTTTAGTGCTGGTTTAGTGCTGGTTTAGTCCTGGTGTAGTGCTGGTTTAGTCCTGGTTTAGTCCTGGTTTTAGTCTTGGTTTTAGTCCTGGATTTAGTGCTGGTTTAGTCCTGGTTTAGTCCTGGTTTTAGTGTTGGTTTAGTGCTGGTTTAGTCCTGGTGTAGTGCTGGTTTAGTCCTGGTTTTAGTCCTGGATTTAGTGCTGGTTTAGTCCTGGTGTAGTGCTGGTTTAGTCCTGGTTTTAGTCCTGGATTTAGTGCTGGTTTAGTCCTGGTTTAGTGCTGGTTTAGTCCTGGTTTTAATGCTGGTTTAGTCCTGGTTTAGTCCTGGTTTTAGTCCTGGTTTTAGTCCTGGATTTAGTGCTGGTTTAGTGCTGGTTTAGTGCTTGTTTAGTCCTGGTTTTAGTCCTGGTTTAGTCCTGGTTTAGTCTCACCTGTCTGGACGGTGCTCAGGAGCAGCAGTAGTAACAGCTTGAGTCCACTCCTCTGGCTCATGTTGATCCTTCAGAGGTTCAGCCCTGGTCTGAGTCTGGTCTGAGTCGGGTCCAGATCCTCAGAGCCGGTCTTTGTCCCGGGACCACAAAGACCCAGTGTCCGGACCCCTCCCCCGAGACCCCGTGCAGCATCGGGACAAGAGGCTGTCCCCAACTCACTCTGTGAATCATTCACACAGTTTTCATATAGAAGCTTTTATGGCGCTTTCATTTACATATGAAAACATTCACTCAAACGACTATTATTCAAACTTAAACCTCCTATATTACACTAAATTGACTCTGTGAGCTTGAAACATGCACTATGTAACTTTTGGTTGGGGGTCCATCACATATCATGCTCTGCCTGGAATTTTCCACAGTACGACATTAAACAGCTCTACTTTACATTTACCCTATTTTTTGGACTATACGTCGCACTTATTTCATGATGCGATTTATACTCTGGTGCGACTTATATATTAACATTTTCACACTGAAGCCTTGAGAGGTTCTAGTCTTGTGTGTGAGTATCTGCTGCTCCTGTTCCTCCTGCACCACTGTCACTTCACTCTACTGCACATGTCTCCTGCAGAAAGAGCCTCTGTTCTGTCTGTATCATGTCAGTCGATCGCACCATTACTTCTGCAACCACTGAACAATTTAACATTTAAACAAACTTATAAAGACGACTGAGAAGAGTGAACACAAATGCTCCCAAAAGAAAATCATATTTTGCAGATTACAAGCTGCATGTCTTAAAATCTGCAGCTGAAAACAGTAATCGAGTGACATGCAACTTTCCAGAAGTCACTGGATGGATGGACAAAGCCTGGACTTCAGTGACACTGACACTGAAACATCCTGAAACCATCCTGTCGCGATTCAGAAAGGCCCGAATAATTCTAAGTGGAACTGATGTTGAGTCTGACGACAGTGACACAGAAGAGGAAGCGGCGCTCTGTTTACCTCCAGAGGCCGAATTGTTCAGAAGTGACACTGAGGATGAAGAATTGAATAGATTTAGTGATTTGGAGTGAGATGGAGAGTTTGTTAAACTTGTTTTGTTCTGTTGTTTATGTTATAGTTTATCTGAAGAACTGTTCATATGTGATGTTAACAGTCTGTTGTTCTCTCTTCTATTGTTTTTACTAAAACTTGACTTTCAACATGAAATGTCCCTTCCTGGTCTCTGATATTATAAAATATATTTCCCCCCTAAAAGTGAGCATTATATATATATATTTTTCTTATTATTATGCATTTATTGGTTGGTACAATATACTTCAGAGTGACTTATACAATACAATATTCAATTACAGATGGTTACATAACATACATAAAATAGAAAGACTCAACACAGATCTGACCTGTAACTTGGTCTGGTTTGATCTCCACGAAGACAGAAAAGTTTAATACCGTACTACACTGTAAAATCTAATAAGTGACTTTACTTGAAAAAAATTTAGGAAACCGATTGCCTTGAAAAATCGGACTAAAGCGGAGTGTGAATCTAAAGATGAGCTACAAGTAATTCCTCAGTGTAGTGAACAGTGAATTCCTCTTTCATCTAACTTGGCACAGCAAGTGAAATGAACTTTAGTTTTCATTGATAGAACTCATGTTGTGAAGCTGTGCCAACGAATCAGTCAGTTCCTCAAATCCAGTGTTGGGGAGTAACAGATTACATGTACTGGAGTTACGTAATCAGAGTACAAATTATGAGTAACTGTATTCGGTGTTTCAGTGAGTGGTAATTGGATTACAGTTACTTTGTTGAAATAACCCCCCCCAGACTAAACTAGATCTAAACTAGATCTAAACCAGCTCTAAACCAGGTCTAAACCAGGTCTAAACCAGGCCTAAACCAGGTCTAAACCAGGTCTAAACCAGGTCTAAACCAGGACTAAACCAGGACTAAACCAGTACTAAACTAGGACTAAAACCAGGTCTAAACTAGATCTAAACCAGGTCTAAACCAGGTCTAAACCAGGACTAAACCAGGACTAAACCAGGACTAAAACAGGACTAAAACAGGATCTAACAGGATTTAACAGGGCTAAATCATGCTGCGTGGACATGTCTCCTCCTCTTCTATCATCTAATATTTTTAATTTGGTTAAGTAAAGTTTGGGCTTTTCATTTTCTTTTAGCAAAAAAGAAAAATCTTACGTTACAATATCCTTGTCTTTGCTTCTCTACAGCAAATCAAGTAATCCAAAGTATTCAGATTACATTACTCACCTTAAATAAATTAATGGATTACGTTACAAACTACATTTTAGGGAATGTAATCTGTAATCTGTAGGGGAATACATTTTAAAAGGAACCTTCCCAACATTGCTCAAATCTGAAATATGTAGTAACCTTTACTTTAAGAGGAAGTTCATCTTACTTGAACAAACCAAGGAAACCGATGCCTTGAATTAAGCAAGTAAATGTTACTTCTATACACAAGTTACAGTAAAAACAGGTTCTGTTCTACAATAATGTCATTTAGATCTGCATCAGGTACAAGGACAGTGTTGGAAAGGTGACTTTTAAAATGTATTCCCCTACAGATTACAGATTACACACCAGAAAATGTAGTTTGTAACGTAATCCATTAATTAGTTAAAGTGAGTAACGTAATCTGAATACTTTGGATTACTTGATTTGTTGTAGAGAAGCAAAGACTCGGATATCGTAACGTAAGATGTTTTGTTTGCTAAAAGACAATAAAAAGCCCAGACTTTACTGAACCATATTAAAAATATTATTGATAGAAGAGACACATCCGCGTAGCATTTAGTCCTGTTAAATCCTATTTTAGTCCTGTTTTAGTCCTGTTTTAGTCCCGGTTTACTCCTGGTTTTAGACCTGGTTTAGCTCTAGTTTAGTCCTGTTTTAGTCCTGTTAAATCCTGATTTAGTCCCGGTTTAGTTCTGTTAAATCCTGGTTTAGTCCCTGTTTAGTCCTGGTTTAGACCTAGTTTAGGTCTAGTTTAGACCTGGTTTAGTTTCCGGCAATGAGTGGAATTGCTGAAAAAACTGGAAAATACTGCCATGTAATCCATTTATTTCAACAAAACAACTGTAATCCAATTACCTCTCACTGAAACAGTAACTGTAACTGAATACAGTTACTTGTAATTTGTACTCTGAGTACATAACTCATATAATCTATGTACATGTAATCTGTTACTCCCCAACACTGTACAAGGATTTGATTATTTATTTTTCCTTAGACTTGAGTCTAATTGACAAGTCATGTGCTTTTTTCACCCTTACTTTACCACAATCATTAAGATCCACTCATTTGTAGCTGTGAGTAAAATAAACAAGCTGAATGCAAGTGAACCCTTGTGTTAGATTTTACAGTGTAGAGCGGTGTAATACCTTTAATACTGTGAAACATTCAGACAAAGCAATAGCATCTCCACAGAGACAGACCTCCACCAGAAAAGTTGCACAATGCACTTTTAATTCCTGTTATAACATTGTTCCCTCCTCAAAAACAAACCTGGATTTGTGTTTTGTTTCATTCGCAATGTTTGAGTAAGATTTTATGATTATTCTGTCTACATCTACAACACAAATTAACACAACAAGTTTTCAAGTTTGCAGCTCCTTCTACCTTTAGTTTAGTGAAGATTGGCAAATCCAGAACTGAAATGATCCAAATGATTCTAGTGAAGGTGTGTGGAGTTTAAAAACACCATGGAGCACTTCCTGTATTACATGACATCACAATGTGGAACAGAGTGTTTTCTGTTTGAGAGAAGGACTCAGTCTAAATATGTAGGGTTCTGACCTTGATAAAATGTTCAGTAAAGTAATTTGGGGTAGAGTAGATTTGCATAAGAAGTTTAAACTTTTAGAATTACTGACAGCTGAATCGACAAAATCGAGACCATCCCAGGACTAAACCGGGTCTAATCACGGTCCATACACTTGAAGACACACTCAAATTGGGACTAAACTAATCTTGGACTAGACCAGGACTAAACTAGGACTGAAACAGAACTAAACCCCCCATCTGGAATAAACTGGACTCAAATCAGGACTAAACCAGATGAAATGTGAATAGTCTGTCCTCTACACATGGTTTAAAGCTTTACATAGTCACTTTTCAGAGAGTGTCCACTGCCTGTTTTTTCTGTGCAGATGTTATTGCTTTGCCCCGAATTTCCCTTAAATATATACCCAGTGTTGGGAAGGTGACTTTTAAAATGTATTCCCCTACAGATTACAGATTACATACCCCAAAATGTAGTTTGTAACGTAATCTATTAAGGTACTTAAAGTGAGTAACGTAATCTGAATACTTTGGATTACTTGATTTGCTGTAGAGAAGCAAAGACTTTGAAATCTACACATAAGATGTTTTGTCTGATAAAAGAAAATAAAAAGCCCAAACTTTACTTAACCCTATTAAAAATATTATTGATAGAAGACGAGGAGACACGTCCACACAGCATCGTTTAGTCCTGTTAAATCCTGGTTTTAGACCTGGTTTAGACCTAGTTTAGACCTGGTTTTAAGATGGTTTTAAACCTGGTTTTGTCCTGGTTTAGACCTGGTTTTAGTCCTAGTTTTAGTCCTGGTTTAGTCCTGGTTTTAGACCTGGTTTAGACCTGGTTTAGTCCTGGTTTCAGACCTGGTTTAGACCTGGTTTAGTCCTGGTTTTAGACCTGGTTTAGACCTGGTTTAGTGTCTGGGAATTAGTGGAATTCCAGAAAAAAAAAAAAAAAAAGGGGGGGATTTAGCCCAAAATGTAAAAACCGGAAAATCCCTCTGTATAATCCATTTTTTTCCAACAAAGTAACTGTAATCCAATTGCCACTCACTGAAACAGTAACTGTAACTGAATACAGTTACTCATAATTTGTACTCTGATTACGTAACTCGGGTACATGTAATCTGTTACTCCCCAACACTGTATATACCCCATCAAAAAAGTGACAGAGTGCAGCTTTAAAACTCACATGCTTGTGAACTGTAGTGTGGTTTGGTTGTGTAAGTGTCCCCGCCTCATGAATGAATGGAGTTTTTATGAGACTTGGATCAAAGGTGTGAATGGAGGGACCTCTGACAGTATC